GGAGCCCCACCAGGGGGCAGTGTCCTGTCTGCTCTGCAGAAACTCCCCTCCCTGCTGGAGGAGGGGCAGAGAGCAGGGGGGTGGGAGGGAGAGGAACTGGGACTTGACTTCTCAGGGCTTCCCCTCAGGGAAGGAAGAGAGGGGCCGCCCCAAACATGCTGAGTCTCCTGCTGCTTCTCCTGGGGGCAGGTGTGAGCCTAGTCCATTGGCGTTGGGGTCACAGGCCTCCTGAGTAGAGGGGCACCTCAGGCCACTGTCAGGGGTGAGGGCTAAGGGGTGTGGCGTGGAAGGGTGATGATCGCTCATGAGTCTCCTTTTTCTCTTTCACCAGGCTCTGTGTCCAGTGTCCTCATCTCCCAAAAGCCAAGCAGGAACATCTGTCAACAAGGGACCTCGGTGACCATCCAGTGTCAGGTCGACACTCAAGTCTCTCTCATCTTGTGGTACCTCCAGCTCCCAGGACAGAGCTTGGCCCTGATCGCAACTGCAAACCAGGGCTCAGAGGCCACGTATGAGAGTGGCTTCACCAAGGACAAGTTCCTCATCAGTCAGCCAAACCTCACCTTCTCCACCCTCACTGTGAGAGCGGGGAGCCCTGAGGACAATGGTGTCTACTTCTGCAGCGCTGACACAGTGCTGGGCGTGGACCTGAGGGCGGGGCAAGAACCTGGACCACCATCTAGCCCACCTGCAAGCCCGCAGACCCCCAGCTAAGCCAACACAGCTGCTTCTGTGCCTGAAGGTGGGTGGAGGGTGGAGGGAGGAGGGTTGAGGGTGGAGGGTGGCAGGTGGAGGCAGAGCCTGTGTGGGCTGGACCGCAATGAGCACTGGAGGTGGGGTCAAAGCACACACAGGAAGAGAGCTTCAGGGAGTCCAACATTAACCTTCTGGAAGGATCTGCAGAGATGCCTTGGTGAGACAAGGAACAGCTGTGGAAGTCCCAAACTTCCTTTTCTGGGATGGTGATCTCAAATGTCACACAAGCTCCATAAGCTATTCAAAATTGTGGTATGTGTTTATTCATTTGTTTGCTGGGTTTTTTGTTTGTTTGTTTGTTTGTTTGTTAACAATACTTAACCAGCTAAAAGGGAACTCTGGTGGCCTTTTGGTAAGGATCTGCACTGCAATTCTGAAGGCATGAAGTTCAAATCCACCAGCTTCTCCATGAGAGAAAGATGGGCAATTTCTTCCCATGTGATTAAAACTGCCTCTGAAAATCTGCTGGTTAGTCAGCTGTGGGTTAGACCAGACTCAACGGTACACAACGACAACTAGCCTAAAGTAATATTTCTACAAAAACATGGACTTTTGAACCTAGAAATAACAACCGACAATTAGAATCTCATAACTGAGAACACGTGCCTAACAATATTATTCACTTTGAGGGATGAATCTCCAGGTGACATCTCGACATGGACTTGAGAACGTCTCTGCCTCAGTGGATTCAGTGCCCCCCTGGACCCGATGGGGGCAGTGGATAAAGCTCTCACTACCTACCTGAGGTCAGAATGCTGTGTAGAGATTAGTCATGGGCTTGAACCCCTGGGCATCACTGTAACGTGTGATTCCGTGTTAAATGCTGGCATTATTGCCTGTTCTCATTCTCCCTGTTAGAGCTCTCACAGTTCTCAGTCACTGAGGATGGATCTAACACAGGAAGAAACTCCCTCACTCGAAACAAATGCAAATTCTAGATGAAACATGTCCAAAGAGAGTTTTAAAAATATATCTTCATTTCATTCAAATCCCTGCCTAAATCCCATCTCCTCCAAGAGAATGTTCCCACCCCGCACCCCGTGTAGCCCCTGTCAACACACCCAGCAGACACCCCATAGCACGTTGCCACTTTACCCTATTTTCTGAAAGCTAATTAATCATTCATTGTCTGAGATGAAGCATCTCTGTATCGCCTGCTCCGTGCACCTCTGTCTACATAACTGTACGTACATCCCATTTCCGTGTCATTGTTGTTGTTAGGTGTCATGGAGCCCAATATGACCCCCAGCGACCCTTGAACAGATCTGAACCCCGCCCTGTCCCACACCGTCCTCGTCCTGCTTACCCTTTTGACAGTCACAGTGTCAATCCGATTTGTTGAGGCTCATCCTTCACTGACTCCTCTGCCTTTCCCAGAATAACGTATTTTCCCAGGGCCTGGCCCCTCTGACAACATACCCAGAGTCCGTGCAACCACGGACCACAAGCCCAGAGTCCCTGCGATCACGGACCACATGCCCAGAGTCCCTGCGACCACGGACCACATGCCCAGAGTCTGTGCAACCATGTTTCCCCAGCGTCGCCTCTAAGAAGCCTCAGACTGAACTTCCTCCAAAACGGAGTTGTTCATTCTGTTGGCAGATCAACATTCAATACTCTTCACACAGTTCAAAGGCATCAATTCTTTGATCTTCCTTATTCATTGTTCCTCAGATGCATAGGAAGCAACTGAAAATACTGAGATAAAGTTCTTTAAAGTTCAAGAACATTAAAGCAAAATATGACCTTGAGTGTATCGCAACCGGGTCTGAGAGCCATCTCAGGAGTAGACTCGATGCGCTGAACATTAATGATAGAGATCAATTGATTCATTGACTCACAATGAGATGAGTTGTGGGATGACCCCAAGAACATCGTCCCTGAAGGAAGGTAAAGGTCATTAACAAAGAGAAAAAGAAAAGGCCAAGATGGATGTCAGAAGAGACTCTCAAACCTGCACAAAAGCCGGGGGAAGGAACGCTGGTGTAAGAGAGGTTAACAGAACATTTCAAAAGGCAACGCAAGAAAAACACAGCATTACAACAAAATGTGTCACGTGCATATGAAAGGACTGTTGATAAAGCACGGTCCTTACCATGCCACAGTCACGATATGACAGGACAAACTCCATAACTTCCCTCCTCTGGCATGTAGGTGCATTCTGTAATGAAATTATAATTTGTCTTGAGTGTTGACGGCCACTCCAAAGATACCAATCACATGACGGGACTTCTTCTGGTGTTGGGTGGGCCTACGAGGACCAGGGCAATGGTGTCTACAAGAGTGGATGAATGAAGCTGCATGTCTGAGGAGAGTGGGTTAGCTGCGGAGATAAAGTAAACCAGATCCTATGGGAACCATTTCCCCTCGGAAGGAACCCGCACAGATCATAGCAGAGCCCCTGTGAGCCTCTGTCCTGCTGGGTGGCTTAGAACTGCCCTCCACGGAGCTCGCACCAGGGCCCTCTGACCTGGACAGGGATTAGTTAGGAAGCCCGGGCATCTGAAGACACTCTGACGTGTTGTGAGCTTCTCTAGCAACCCATCAGGGCAGAGAATGAGGTCAAAGCCAGCTACTCCCTTCGTGAAGAGGGGACTCAGGCCGTCAGCGCGGTGTTAATGACCGTGGTTGTTCCTGTGTGCGCTCTTAGGCGTGGTCAGGGACCTCTACCTGTTTGTATAGCAAAGGGTCACTATAAAGAGCAGCAGTCCCTGCCCCGGGGGAGCGCGGATGGCCTCGTGGTAAGGAGCTGTGCTGCCCCCCAAAGGCATGGGGTTTGAACCCACCAACAGCTCTGCCAAAGAAAGATGGACGGACAGTCACCTCCCAGCCATCTGCTTCTTCTGAAAACCCCCTGGAGGGTCAGCTATGAGTCAGTTTCCACTCGACAGGAGATATAACAACCCTTCTCCAAGCCCATGAATCCTGAGCCTGTGGGAGCCACAGGCCTTGCCCTGTATGGATACGGGTACATGGGTGCTTGGTCTGGGGCGGAGTCTCCTTGGGGTCCCGCCCTCGGCCACAGGGCCTTCCCCTTCTGACTGCCAGCTTGCCAGGAAAGCTGGTTGAACTCCGGGCACCTGGCTGGGACCCCACCATGGACGCCCCTCTTCTCTGGGCCCTCCTCTGTCTCCTGCACACAGGTCGGTCCTGGCCCTGCCTACTTTGCAGGGCTGAAGCGTCCAGTTACGCCGTGCTCTCACTCCAGCCTGTGTCCCCTCTTCCTCAGGCCATGTCAATGCTGAGGTGACCCAGTTCCCAAGACACCGCATCGCCACTCGTGGAGAAACGCTGACGGTGGCCTGCACGCAGGACCTGAATCACGACGCCATGTACTGGTACCGCCAGGACCCAGGAGAGGGACTGCGGCTCCTCCACTACTCGGTCAACGTGGACATTGTGGACAAGGGGGAGCTCCCCGACGGCTACCTCGTGTCCCGAAAGGAGAAGAAGAGCTTCCCACTGACCCTGGAGTCTGCGGTCCCTAGCCAGACCGCGCTGTACCTGTGTGCCAGCAGCTAAGCCACAGTGACATGGGGACAGCTGCTCCTCGTGCACAAAGGGCTCCTCAGAGCAGAGACCCCGCCCAGGGGGCCCCTGGGGGCCAGGCTGCAGCCCTCCCCACCACCACCCTCGGCTCTGCGGGCTCCTCTCATCCTCGTGCCCACAAGATGCTCCACGTTCAGGCAGGACCGGTGAAGGGGGCTGGTTCTGTTTCGGTGGCGTTTTGTCCAGATCAGTGCCCTAAAGCCCACAGGCCCCCCCATCCACATCATTTCCTCCTTAACCCAGAGCTGCCTTTAAATCCAGGCCCCTCCGCCGGTGGGGGCGTCTGTCTGCCAGGATCACTTCCTCTCTCATGCACGCAAGCTCCCTCACAAACACACATCCCACAGAGACGCAGGAACCTCCACAACATGTGCCATCAAGCCAGGACTGACGCATGCTGACCGTCAGAGGGTTCTCAGAGGCAGTATATCTCATGGGAAGAGACTGCTCTTCTTCCTCCCAGAGAGCAGTGGGTGGACTTGAACCGCGTGCCTTTGAGTTGGCAGTGCTACTCCTGACCCACTAGGTCACTAGAGGTCCGCACTTCCCTGAGCTAGCAGCTTGCCTGGCTTGCAGCTTTACCTTGTGGTAAGATGGGTGGGCTCTCATCTTTCGTTACTTTGGGATATGAGCTGGTCCCTTTACTCGACATGCCCCTTTAATGCAGTGGTGTGGACACCCCATAAACAGCCCACCAGATGGCGCCCCCAGCCACAGATGACCCTCAGGGGTGAGTTGAGAGAGTGGACGTTTGCAAAGCTTGCTTTCTGGGGATCCTTTGTGACCCTTGGGGGGTTCGCTCTCTCGTCTTCATCACCCACTAGATTCTACCACAGCACAGGCTGTGGCCAAGGTGAGGTAACCTTTACCAGTGTCGATGTTAACCTGTGCCCTCTGGGGTTAAGAACACCCCAGGCAGAGACTGAAATATGCAATCCTAGCAGAGTAAATGTCCAGAAAATGGACCTCAGATCTTTCTATGCCAAAGCAAACGATTTCAGGTAGTTAATGGGAGAAAATTAGAAAATTCAAAACACCATACCTGCACGTGGATTCAGGGTAGTAGAGATCCTAGAGAGCCCAGAGGAGCTGCCCCCTGAGGCTTCCAAGGCCATAAATCCCTGCAGACGCAGCCTGGCTCCTCTTCCCCTCCTGGAGGGGCTGGTGGCATGAAAGGATTACCTGTGAGTTAGCAATCCAGAGTTCTAACCACTGGACGTCCAGGGGCCCTTCAGCTACATGACAAGGGGACTCTGCTGGACGTTGGCAGTGAGCCCTACCCTGCAGTCAAGCGTTACAGAGGGTGGCCTAGCTCCTAGCTCACACTGGACTGAGTTAGAAGGTGGCACTCCCTCAGAACAGCCCAGGATTCTCGGAAGAAGTGGAAACAGTCGTGTGTGACATGCAGAAAGCAATGGGAGACCGTGCAGAGATGATGGGAGGCACGTCAGCCAGGAGCTGGGAGAGCAGGGGAGTGAGAGGAGAGAGGGGGAAGGAGGCCTTTCTGACCCAGAAAGCAGGTGTGGGGTATTTACTAGGGAGGGAGACTCCAGGTTGGGATCATGATCGCAAAGGGCGCTGGGGAAGAAACAGCAATTCAGCCTCAGATGCGCTGATGTGCCAACTCGCTCATATTCTAAACTGCAACGTCCACAATGCAGACCATTCTAGGTCGCGGTGATGGAAGGCCAGGAGGTAGGAGGGAAGTGGTCAATGGGTCAGAGCGTCCTGAGCGAGGACCCAGGAGCCCCACCAGGGGGCAGTGTCCTGTCTGCTCTGCAGAAACTCCCCTCCCTGCTGGAGGAGGGGCAGAGAGCAGGGGGGTGGGAGGGAGAGGAAGTGGGACTTAACTTCTCAGGGCCTCCTCTCAGGGCATGAGAGAGGGGCTGCCCCAAACATGCTGAGTCTCCTGTTGCTTCTCCTGGGGGCAGGTGTGAGCCTTGTCCCTTGGTAATGTGGTCACAGGTCTCCTGAGCAGAGGGACATCTCAGACCACGGTGAAGGGTGAGGGGTGTGGGTTTGGAGAATGGTGACCCTTCATGACTTCTCTCTCTCTCTCTCTCTCTCTCTCTCTCTCTCTCTCTCTCTCTCTCTCTCTCTCTCTCTCTCTCTCTCACCAGGCTCTGTATCCAGTGTCCTCGTCTCCCAAAAGCCAAGCAGGGACATCTGTCAACAAGGGACCTCGGTGACCATCCAGTGTCAGGTCGACACTCAAGTCTCTCTCATGCTGTGGTACCTCCAGCTCCTAGGACAGAGCTTGACCCTGATCGCAACTGCAAACCAGGGCTCAGAGGCCACGTATGAGAGTGGCTTCACCAAGGACAAGTTCCCCATCAGTCGGCCAAACTTCACCTTCTCCACCCTCACTGTGAGAGAGGGGAGCCCTGAGGACAGTGGTGTCTACTTCTGCAGCGCTGACACAGTGCTGGGCGTGGACCTGAGGGTGGGGCAAGAACCCTGAAACTCCACCCTGTCTCCTAGATAACCCAAAGACCCCCAAGGAGGCAAGCACCATTGACAGGGTGCCAACCGGTTGGGGTCTGTTGGGAAGAGGATCTGAGGGGGCTGAGAGGACAAACAAGCCCTAGAGGTGAGCTTCAACCACAGACAGGAAGAGACCCCCTGGCAGTCCAACAGTCAGACTTCTTCTAGAAGGTTCTATAGCGGTACTTCAGTGAGACAGGAAAGACTCTGGTTTCCCTAGGGTGCCTCTGCTGTCAAGCACAAGCTCCACTAGCTGTTCAAAAAGATCACTTTTAACAAGTTTATATATTTAAAGAAGATGTTTAAGCAGAACTAGTTCTAAAAAAATAAAATTAGAATTTCGAGCCTAGAAATAACAACTGAGGATTTTGATCAGATTATTAAGGACACATTCTAAGTTTAAGAAGAAAGAATCCTAGTGTGTTCACTTTGACTTTAGGACATGTCAGCATCAGCGATGGCTCCTGGAGTTATGGTCACAATGGTATATTGTTGTTATGTGCTGTCAAGTCACCTGTGACCCATGGCCACCCTATGTACAACAGCCCTAAACCCTGCTCTACCCTGTGCCAATCTTACTGTCTCTTACACACCAACCTCCATTGCCCCAATCACTGACTCAATCCACCTTACCAAGGGTCTTCCTCTCCTGTGCTGTCCCTCCACCCTCTCAAGTATGGCATCCCTCTCCAAGGGCTGGTCCCTCCTTGCAACATGCCCAAAGTATGTCAGATGAACCTTCAGAATCCTTGCCTCCAAGGAGCAGCCTAGTCTCACCCTCTCTAGGATGAACCTCTTTGTTCTCCTAGCAGACCAATACTCTTCTCCAGCACCCCAGCTCAAAGGTACCAATTGTCCCTCTAACATTCCTAGTCATTGTCCATCTTTCTGACATATAGCACACAATTGCAAAAACTATGGCCTGGATCAGGAGCACCTTAGTCTCCAGACTGACATCTTTACACTTCAGTACTTTGAGTGAGTTTCTGACCGCAGTCTTTCCCAATGCAATTCGTCTTTCATTTCCTGGCTGCTGACACCGAGAGTGTTGATTCTGGAGCCAAACAAGCTAAAGCTCTGAACAGTCTCAATCTCTTCTCCATCTATCATGATGCTGCCAATCAGCCCAGTGCTGAGAATCTTTGTTTTCTTGATGTTGAGCTTCAATCCATAGTGAAGGCTGCAGTCCTTGACCTTCTGCAGCAAGTGCTGCAGGTCCTCCTTGGTTTCAACAAGCAGTGTTGTGTCATCTGCATAACTCAGATTGTTGACGAGTCTTCTTCCAATCCTGATGATGACACGTTTCTCCTCATAGAGCCCAGCCTTCCAGCTAATCTATTCTGCATATTGATTGAAAAGGGATGGAGATAGGACACATCCCTCCCTGGCGTACACCCTTCCCAGTTTTGAACCATGCAGTATTTCCTTGCTCTGTTCTGACTATTGTGTCTTGGTCCAAGTATAGGTTTTGCATAAGCACAATCAAGTGTTCTGGGACACTTAAAAAAAAACACACCACAATGGCATATAGACCTAGAAATCTATGGGCCAAATGGCAGCACCATTATAGATGGAGAAGAGATTGAGGTTGTTAACAATCACAGCTTGCTCGGCTCCACAATCAACACTTTTGGCACCAGCAATCAGGAAGTCAAAAGGTGAATTGCACTGGGAAAATCTGCTGTCAGGGATCTTTCCAGAGTACTGAGAACCAACAATGTCAGTCTAGAAACTAAGGTGCACCTGATTCAGGCAATGGTCGTCATCATTACTTGTTATACTTCAGAGAGCTGGGCAATGACTAAAGATGACAGAAGAATCAATGCCTTCAAGTTGTGGTGCTGGAGAAGAGTCTTGAACATATCACAGACAGCCAGAAAACAAACAGGTCTGTCTTGGAGAGGGTGAAACCAAGTTTCTCCTTGGAGGCTAGGATTTTGAAGCTCTGTTCCACATACTTTGGGCATGTGGCCAGGGGAGACTGATCCTTAGAGAAGGCTATCATGCTCAAAAGAGTGGAAGGACAGTGCAGGAGAGGAAGACCCTTGGTGAGACAGATTGATAAAGTAACTAGGGCAATTGGGGTAGGTGTGTCAGAATCCGTGAGACTGGCTCAGGACAGGGCAGGCTTCAGTGCTGTTGTACAGAGGGTCGCTATGAGTGGTAGGTGACTCAATGGCACATAACAACAACATATCTAGTATGTTATATATTCTGGGCTAAGGATGTTGTTGATTTTTGCTTTCCCTCTTAGATTTCTGGAGCTTTAGTGGCTTAACGGTAAGAAGCTGTCCTACCAACCCAAAGTTCTGCAGTTCCAATCCACCAGCTGCTCCTGGTACCCCACCAGGGGTTAGTGTCCTGTCTGCTCTGTCCCTGCTGGAGGAGGGGCAAGAAGGAGGAGGGAGGAGGAAGGAGCTTGCACTTGACTTGAGGAGAAAGATGGACAATCTCTTCCCCTGAAATTTGTGGCCTCTGAAAACTTGCTGAAAGGTGAGCTATATAAGCTGGTTCCAACTTGATGGAACATAACAAAAAACATGGAAGAATCTAACGCAGCAGATTCCCTCTATCCACTTAAAAACACACAGAAATTCTAGATTAGGTTTCTCTGAAGGGAATTTGGAATATATGTCTTTCTTCTAACAGTTCTCTACACAAATCCTGTCTCCAAGTTACCCCTCCTGCCTGATGTAGCGCTTGCAGAAGCTTCATAGCATACTCTCCCCTGGCCCTGCTGGTAACACGTAACCATTGTCTGAAATGAGTATTATATATACTTCGCTGCATCCTGTATCTCTCTGAACATACACACACACCTTTCAATATTCACATGGAAAGGTTATTGAAATGTCACCATTCTTATCATGCCTTGTTCCCTTTCTTACAAAAGAAAATATTTTTCATAGTTTCATGGTTTTGAAATATAAGTCAACCTTATAATAATAACTTCTTGTTGTTGACTGCCATTGAGTTGAGCAAAACTCATAGCAACCCTATGAACAAAAGGCCTGAAACCTTTGTGTAACTATAAACATTTATCAACGTTCATAGAGTTTCCAGAGGCATGTTGTTAAGGAAGTGGATGCCACTCCTGTTTCCAGCTTAAAACAGTAATGTATCTGATGACCTCTCCAAAGGTAGCAATCACTACATGACGGCGCTGCTTATAATACAAGGAAATTTCAGAAGCCTAGGACTCAGGCCGGCCAGCCTTACAAGGCTTTTTATCTGAGGTCCTTGACTCCCTGGAAAGTGTTTCCTTTATGCTCTGTCGTTCTCAGTCATCCACCAGATTCGCCTCAACTGAGACGTAGGTAAAGGTAAGACTATCTTTCATCATATAGATGATTTGAGGTTTCAGAGTCATAACAGCCGTTTAAATTGCATCACCCACCAAAAAGTTTATTTTTTTTACCCCAAACTGAGTGGCCTGGAGTTACGTCCAACTCACTGTGCTCCTGTAGGAGACAGCTGGCGTCTAGGGGTCTCAGGGCTGCAAACCTTCATGGCAGCTGATGGCCTCATCCGTCCTCTGTGGCGACACTGCTGGTGTTGAACCATCAACTGTGCTAGTCCTGCCAAGCACCTAACCAGTGTGGCACCAGCGTCCTGCCACAGTCCTCCTGAGCCTAGCCTGGCAATACACTGAAATGCTCACGCCTAACACAGCAATGCTCAAAGCAGCTCAGCCCTTCAGTCAAAACAAGTTATTTCAGCAGTTCAACTTCCTACAGACTGCACCACCAGAGCTTCTAGAACCTCCAAACCAAGAGGCCATGGCTGTCTGACAGTTCAAATCCACCAGCTGCTCCGTGGGAGAAAGACAGGCAATCTCCCTCGTGCGGCTCACAGCCCTTCAAGCCCTACTGGGCAGTCAACTATGGGTTTGTTCCAACTCATTGACAAATGATGTTGAGTTTGGGTTTATTAGCACTGGTCTGTGCATTGCTGTACAGAGGTAACTCGAGGTTGCTGTGATGCTGAACACTGACACGGATGTGTCAAATGAAATAATGGTCACCTATGGTGGACAGTGTTTGGTGGAGCTCCCCGATTAAAACAAGCTTGGAAAGAGGAGTGGCTTCCGAAAGCCACTTCCGAAATGGCTTGCCTCCAGAAACCCTATGAACCTAGAGAAAGGATGAAAATTATACAAAGTGTTCAGGTCTTTTGTTCATAGGCTCACTGGGTCGTCTATGACTCAATGGCACTTAACAACAACAACAACAACTAACTAACTAAAATGGCTTGTTTGGACTTAAGAGCTGAGCTATTCTAAGCTTGACTCATGTTGCAGCCTGCGTGTGAGTTAGGCTAAGGAGCCCTGGGGACACACTGGTTAGGAGCTCAGCTGCTAACTGAGAGGTTGATAGTTCAAAATCACCAGCTCTCCACAGGAGAAGGTGAGACCATACGCTTCCATGAGATTTAAGGCCTTGGAGACCCAGCAGGATGGTTCTCTTCTGTCCTCAGGCGCAGTGAGTTACAGAACGGGGATATCAGATTGTCTTCTTCCCGTCACTGTAACCTAGCAATGGCTTCTTCATAAACACGTATCTGCACATGCACTGCTGTTGTCTAGTTGGTTCCAGCTCCGAGTGACTCTGTGTCGACTGAGCAGCGGGTGGTGTCCAGTCCGGTGCTGTCTCACTTGCTGCAGCCACGACCTCACCCATCTCCTTGAAGAGTTCCTCTTTTCACCCAGTGACCCTCTGCTTTACCAAGCTTGATGCCCACACCAAGCACAATGCCCTCACCAAGCGCGATGCCCTCACCAAGCGCGATGCCCTCATCGAGCACGATGCCCTTCTCCAGGGCTGGTCCTTCCCCATCACTAGCCTGAGGTATGTGAGGCCAAGTCTTGCCATTGCTGCTTCTAAGCACACAGACGCACACACGCAAACACAGGGAGCAAAGAATTTTCTTCTTCAGTTTTGTTCCCTTAGAGGCCAGAAGAACTCCTGGAACTCGCCAGAAGTCAGTGTTTCTGAGTAAAGAACGTGTTCTGGACGAGAGGAGCTTCTTCCAGGCAGTAGACTGGCCTGGAGAAAAATGTCTGCACAGCATTGAGTTTGTACAGCAAAAGGCCACAGAGAAGGTCAGTCAATGGCTCCAAACAGGGAGGTAATAGAGGTTATCACCCAGCCTGTGTACCACGTCCCCGGGCTGGGAACAGGGACAGATGCCCGGTGCGGGGAGGCCGAGCACAGAGCCTGCCCGCCATGGCCTTGAAAAGACAGGCTCCCAGGTGGAACTGTGTGGCCTGTGCAGACAGTATCTGACCTGAATGCCTCCAGGTGGAGCAGGCTGAGAGGAAGTGGGATGACCACTTGACTGCCTCTTAGATGACACACTGCTTTACAAACCAAGCCTGGGCGGGAGTCTGGTCACTGATCTGAACACCAGTCTTGGCTTGTGAGTCTCATCATGGATCTAGACAGTGCAGAAAAAGACACTGTCGATAGTGGAAGTCCGAGTGTTGTCAGCAAACCACAGCCGTTCAGTCACAGCATCCCTCCCCCGGCTGCTGGCTGAGCGCTGTCAGGCCGTCTCGGCTTACTGTCCACTTGGCACTGCCAACCATCCAAGCAGCTTCAGTGAAGGCCCAGGGATGGGACAGGAGCGGCGGAGAGGTGGCCACGAGGCCAGTCACCAATCTGTGATGACAGGCACTGTCTTTAGGCTGCATGTCGACCACAATGGCTGGAAGAGTCTTCTCCTCCCTGTTAAAGCTGGCAGTGCAGCTGAAACGTACAGATGACAGCACAAAACTGGTACAACTTCCATGGCTTCAGGGCTCCTTGTCCCCCTGAACCATCCAGCACACACCGGTGTCTATAGAGCCAAGAACGAGGTTTTTCCCAGTGACCTCTGAACCAGGAGTCCCCAGGAAGAGCCTAAGAGGAAATCCAGTACAGGCCCTGTCACCACCTGCTGTCACCACACCTCAAACAAGACCTTGATGAACCTGAAGCCATGGCAGGGGAGCCCATAAACAAGGTGCCAGGTGAAAGGTCACGTCCAGCCTCTGTCCCTGCCAGGGAGGACTGATGTGCTGTTCCCTCGAGGCCCAGACCGCTGGCTCCATCCCCAGCAGGCCTCTCAGATGTCACCTGCCTCCGTTCCCAGAAGAGACACGCTCCACGTCTCTTCAGACACGAGACCAGAAATGTCATCTTAGGCAAGACACAGTCTGGGTCTCGGCCTCCCCGTCAGCAAGCCAACAGAGACATTCTGTCCTGCAGAGTGACAGTAAAGTCCTTGTGATGAGCTCAATTCTGAAACCCAACACAAAGGCAGCCTGGGAGGGTAGGGGTGTGTGTGTGTGTGTGTGCGCTTTCAAACCTAGTAGTTCTGAGTGCTCCCACCCAGGTACAAGTGCCTCAGTGTTGGGGGACACAGAGAGAAGGGGTGCTCTGAGAAGGGGTCTTCTGTGGTGGAGAAGTGACCTCAGCCATGGGGCTGACCCCGAGGGCACCACACCCATCACTCCCACCCCATGAGCCCACAGCACTGTCCCTCAGCCCTCCGCTCCATGCATCCCCCCTACAACCTGTGGCCTGCTCCCTACTAACCCCAGGCTTCTGAGCAAACCCCCTTTGTTCTCGGTCTCCAGACAGTGAGCCGGTTCCTTCTTACAGCGAATGCAGCTGTGATTCTGCCCACTGCTGCCCTCGAGACCCTGCGCTGGGAGCTCTAGGAGGAGGAACCCCCTTAGAGGCGGACCGTCCAGGACACAGGCGGCTGCATCTGCCCACACCTGACCAGACTCGTCCTCAGCAACACACAGACTGTGTCGCACTGGCCCTGAGCAGCCCCGATGTGGAGACTTTCTGGGAAGAGTGGAGACTTCCACTCCACAGTGAGCCCGGCATCATGGTCCCTTTCCACAGAGAACAGAAAGTTCCGGCACTCCTCTGCTCTCTCAGTAAATGGACCCAGGTCTGGACCCTCTGATGCTGTTGTTATGTGCTGTCAACTCGAACTCATGGCTCCCCTACGAACAACGGCTCCGAACCCCACACTATCCTGAGCCAGTCTCACTGTCTCCGACACACCTGCCCCCATTACCACCGTCACTATGTCAGTCCATCTCATCCTGGCCTTCCTCTCCTGTGCTGTCCCTCCTCCGCCCTTCCAAGCATGATGTCCTTCTCCGAGGACTGGTCCCTCCTGACAGCACGTCCACAGTGTGTGAGACGGAGCTTCAAAATCCTTGCCTCCAACGAGCAGCCAGGTTTCCCCTCTTAGGACAGACCTGTTAGTTCTCCGTACAGTCCTTGGTGTGTTCAGTACTCTGGGACCACAACTCAAAGGCAGTGATTATCCCACCGTGTGCGGATCTCCCCACCTACTGATTCTCTGACCACAAGTCCGGTTTGCCATTGTCTCAATCCTTCCTAACGTTTCTCTGGGGCGGGTAATTCCAGCTGGTGGACCCTCTCTTCTCCTTCATCACCTTCCAGAGTGGTCCAGAGCCTGCAGCCAAGAGAGAGGAGGGTGTGGTGTTGTGACATTAGTCTTCTGCCTCCATGTGTCAGGTGGGCTCCCCTCAGTCTTGCTCCCTACTCCTTCACAGCACCCCCACCCCACCTTCCTGTTGTTGTTGTTGTTGTTATGGGCCATCAAGCTGCAATGACCCATAGCAGACCCTCCAGCGGGTGTTCAGAGGCATGGGAGGACATTGCCCATTCTTCCCACACAAAGCAGCTGGTAGATTCGAGCTGCATGTCTGGATTTCAGTGCACCTTCTTGCCAGTAAGGTCCAGCCCCCACCCCAGTGCCTCTCAGGCAGCACGGGTCCCTCCCCGACTTGTAAAGCACACCCAGAAGAAGACGTGTGTGCTCAGACAAGGCTGGTGAGGCTGGGTCCCCCCATAGAGTGGGACAGTGGATACACCTGCTAGCCATGTCACTACCCTTGACAAGTATCAGATGACCGCCCAGGTCAGGACTCAGCCCATCTATCCCCTGGGCCCTCACCTCCTCGGCTCCCTGCCCATCCCAGAATATTTCCAGGGGCAGCTTTCTCCCTCCTGCCCCAAAGGCCAGGGTTCCTGTCACCTGTATACCAGCAGTGCTGATGTAACACCCTGGGAAGCGGAAAGCTGCAGGTGTTTGTATTGGACTCAGTGCCCACCTCTGCCCTCACCCGGGGACATAAAAGCCTCTCCTTGGCACCCACAGTCACACCTTCTCCACTGCCACCATGAACCCTCTCTTCATCCTCGCCCTGGTGGGCGCTGCAGGTGAGTCCAGGCAGCCTCAGCCCTCCAGGTAGACCTGGCCAATTGTTGGCTGTGTCTTCTGCGTCCCTGTACTTGTGCCCTCCCCACCGAGCAGCCGCCTTGGACGCTCTTGAAGGCGCCTTTCTCACCTACCTGAGTCCATGTCCCCACGAGAGTGCATCTACATCGGGGTGGAGGAGGCTGGTAGGAGAGTCAGATGGTGGAGGAGGCTGTGAGGGAGTCAGAAGGTGGAGGTGGTCCCAAAGTGAACCCTGGCTGTGAGGGAGTGAGGAGAAGTGAACCAGAGGGAGGACACTGAAGGGAGACAGGTGGTGTGAACCAGGTCGAGAAGACTAGAGGAGGCAGACGGCGGGTCCAGTGCACGTAGGTCCACTCTGACTGCACGGGAATGGCCCCTTTCAGCTGTTTCTGGTCTTGGCTGTGGAGTAGAGTCGTCTGGGGTGGGGGTGAGGTGCAACAATTCTGACCCCAGGTTTTTGTGCTAGAAAATCTAACTTAGTTGGCTCCATGAAAACTGGACATTGGATGTGTAAACTTCACGGATGACTCAAAAATTTCTAGGTCGCTGGGATCACTGGTCACCAGTCATTAACAGTGGCCACCCTTGTGCTGCCCAGATGGGCCTGAAATGGAGTCTGGGCTCCACTCTGCCAACCTCTCAGGATTAAGCTGTGGAAGCAGCTGCCTCCCACCAGGAGACTGTCTCAGGATACAAGATGCCACCCCACCCTGGACTGGGGGGCTGAGAGGCCCGAGTGGCTGTGGGGAGTATACAGTGGAGGAAGGCGTGATGGTGGGACTTGGATGGCTAGAGAGCACATTCTGACCACATCCTCTGAGTCTCCTGCAGTGGTCCTTGGTCTCCAAGCTGGTTCTCTGGAGAGGTCAGGGTCCTGCAGACCTTCCTGGACGCCCCTCCCTCTCTCTCTGTGCGCTGGTCCGGAGCAGCCACAGGCCCAGCTGCCCTCTCCCACCCTGCTGACCTCGCCCCCCTCTCTCTACACCTTAGTTGCATTCCCCGCAAAAGACGATGATGACAAGATCGTCGGGGGCTACACCTGCGAGAAGAACTCCGTGCCCTACCAGGTGTCCCTGAACTCCGGCTACCACTTCTGCGGCGGCTCCCTCATCAATGACCAGTGGGTGGTGTCCGCAGCTCACTGCTACAAGTCGTAAGTGCGGGCTGCTGCAGCAGGTCACATGCGGGACCCCCTGGTTAGCTTCGATGGGGTGCTGCAGTGAAATGGGAAACAGGGTGAGGAGGGTGACCGTGCAAGCAGCTGACCGTGTAGAAACCTGGGGTGCAGACGGGCCCAGAGCTGGTTCATCCACCAGCCCTCAGCACGAGGGTCATGTCTAAATGGACAGAGGGCAGATGAGGACACAGTTGCCCAGGTAACCCTGGGCAGCGCTACACATCGTCACCTATGAAATGAATGTCTCTCAAGTGGCTTAACTAAAGCTCCTGGTGACTGCGTCCATTCCAAGCCACCATCTCAGAACTGTCCGGAGGCGGGTCCTGACTCCTGGGGGTTTGTGCTGGTCACACCTGCTGTGGCTGGAGCTGCTGATTCTGGAAGCCCCAGTGGGAGGATGCGTATCCAAGGTCCTATATGATAATGACGTCACAGGAGACCCTGGTGGCCCAGCAGCCTGAGCATTGCCCTGAAAGTTTGGTGGATCAAATCCACGAGGAGCACCTGTAAGCCAGGCCTTGAGATCTGCTTCCTACAGGTCCCTGTGCACCCACGGTTCACATGAGTCAGAGTCGACACCAAGGCAGCTGGCTCCTGAGAGCGGGTACACCTGGTGGGAGGTCAGGCAGGTGTGGGGCCCCGAGGATGGAGCAGGAGCCCTGGTGGTGCAGCTGGTTAAGCACTAGACTGATGATGACGAGGCAACAGTTCAAACCCCCCAGTGGTTTGTTAAGAAGAAGATGTGAACATCTGCTCTGACAAACATTGCAGCTCTGGGACTCTGGCCGGTGCTGCTACGTTCTGTGAGCTCCACGAGCCCAAATCAACTTCAAGGCGGCAGCTTGTCTGAGGACAGAGCAGGTGGAAGGGCATCAGGGGCACAGGTGTGGGGGCGGGCAGCTGGGGACAAGCTTGTCTGGATGCCTTCATTCCACTGACATCTCCTACCATCACCACCACCATGACCACCACCACCCCCATCCCCACCC